TGGTAAACAGCACCATAGGTTCCAGAGCCTAACTCTCGGATCTCCTCCAGATCTTCATTTTTAATTGTCTACATGGAAAATGATGTAGCAACAATAGATGGTGGAACGTTAGAAGACAAGATATAATTACTTAATGCATCGATTTTCTGGAAAAGGAAGTCCCAAATGGATGTGGTGACAAACAGATGGAATAGTATGCTTAACTACATGTATATTGTAAGTAAAACAGATCATATATCCACATGTAAAATGGGAACCTGCAATCCTCTATCAATTGCTTCAGCCTCAGCAGTAGTGGGCTCGACCTTGGAATCGCTGAGATTGTCATTATCAGAACCCATCTCTAAGTCTCCATTGCCACCCTATACAACAAGAGAGGTTGTTTTAATGACAAAATACACAACAGAAAATTATTAAGAAAGACTGTGGTTGATTCTCACCAATCCATCCGGGTCATGCTGTGCATCATCTCCTGCAACTACATTATGCTCAATTCCAAAATCAGTATCTTCTCGAACTTTAGCTTCCACCTTCAGACATGCCGAAGCCACTTCTTTTACAGAGGCAACAAAATCAGGTAACAAGCTCAAACAGTCTTCCTGCAGCTCAGCAGCAAGGCCAGCATTGGTTTCTTCCACTTCCATCCTGCCATTGCTTTCCGCTACAAAATTCATAGACTTGGCAGGTTCCATTGCATCAGGATTTTTGTCATTGACTACATGCATGTTAGTATCTCCAACCTCCCCTCCAAGATTCAGTTCTTTGCTCCTTCTATAGATACTGTCCTCATCCAACTTCACTGGTTCAGCAATATCAGCATCATTTCTCAGGCATGACATGGAAGCTGCAGTGACCAACTTGTCATCAAAAATGAAAGCAGAATCGGATTTTGTAAGATGCGTTATGGGACCAGCAAATTTAGTCATGTCTGGGACTGATGGGCTGGACTGCATAGTAAATGGACCCTCGACGGTGGGGACCAATGTTGGAGCTTGGCCACGAGACTCATCAAAGCCCACAAGTTTTTGTGGCGACTCTACCCAAAGATTTTGATTCTCCAACTCAGTTCGCAACCTGGGGCTACCATCCACTGTACCCCTCATAAATCCAGTGCTGACAGAGCCATTTGCTAGCTGAGCTAAAACAGGTGTTTCATGAGAGGGACCTCCTAGCAATGGGCCATGACCATTTCTCCATAAAGCATGCAAAGGCACATTGCCATGAGGAACCTGGTACACATTATCAGCTCCATATGTACAGGGAAGATTGCTGCAACAAACTCCATGCTCGTCCAGAGACGGAACATGAACCTGTGATCCAGTGGCCACAGCTTGGTCATGAAACACTAGATTACCAACGTCTGCAACAGGTCGGGCATACCGTATATCTTCATGATGGACATAGTGGGATTGCACAGGGTGGACATCACATAAACTGCCTTGCCCAAGAGGAGTACTTGTACCATTTTCCATTATATAGTTATCAGCCACCCCCAGTCTTCCAGCTATAGAAACATGTGGTCTAGGTTCGTCAGGCTGGGGATTTAACTGATGTTGTAAAACCCATCCTCTTTCATGACTACGGCTCTCATTATAGAAGTATGGATGGTGCACGTTTGCATCTGGATCCAATGTGTACATTTCCCTATTAGGGGGGCACTCAACACAAGAATTAGTGACTGTATGATATCCATTCCCCATGTTAGTTGGCTCTAGACGTGGCTGTTCTCCAGGCTTCCAAGGGGTATCTGGGTAAAGTTGATTTCTTGGAAACATTATCGGGCAATGCTCACAACCAGTACCATGAAGTATATTACCTGGAAAACCAACATTTTCACTGCATACAGGTCCTGTTGGAACCAAGACCATATTCTCAGTATACTGCAGCGGCTGCTCATATGTGTTATGATGATTGGTTGGAGGCCGATTGTATTCCTCAGGCATTCTATCAAAATTTCTGTCTGAAAACTCCCCATATGGAGCCCGATAACGGGAAGATGAAGGCGAAGTTGGAAACTCAGCCAAAGGCTTTTGGTCCAATGTTCCAGGTTGCTGAGGTGAATAGTAAGCAGGACTCCATGGAGCCTCATTGTCAGAGTACCTTTGAGAAACTGGTTGTTGGGGCTGCCCAGAACCCAAATGAGGAATTGCAAGCTGACGCAAATTAACATATGCCATAGACAACTCTGCATTCCTCTGACCATGGATGCTACCCTCTAGACTCATCTGATTAAAGTACTGCTCAGCACCATTGACATCATCTAATGACCACATTACCTGAGACCCACCTAGCTGATTCCTGAATTCAGGAGACTCGTTAAGGTTGTTTAGAGCATCAACATACCTCCTTTCAT